AAAAAGTGGATACACCAAAACAACTCAAATTCCTCAGCTTTTCAAAACATATATATATATATAAATGTGGATACCCAAAAGTGGATACACCAAAACAACTCAAATTGCTCAGCTTTTCAAAACATATATATATACATAAATGTGGATACCCAAAAGTGGATACCCTTAATGTGGCTACATCAGATTGTAGATGCACTAAGAATGGATACTCCATAAATTATTGCTGTGTAGGGTATTGCGACGTAAAACTCTCGATACCCAGTGTAAAGGTATTATGACATCTATGTGCACCTTTCGTGATTGGGACAACCATGTTCAAGTGAATGTTCTTCAGCACATCTTGGGCATAAACGAGGTCGAGAACAGCTTTTTGTCGTGTGATCATGACGTAAACACTTCAGGCATTTATTAATACGTATTGGTAAATGGCATGGCTTCACTGGATGAGTCATACTTCCCACGTTTATTTTTCCCAATTTAATGAGTGTTCTGACTTCTTCAATTGTGTTAAAATCGGCTATAACAGCATTTAATGTTGAACCATCTTTCACACGCACTCTTGTAATTTTGTATAAAGAGACATATCGTTGTTGCAATTCTACTAGCCATTCATCTTCATTCCAATTACGATGGAATTGGTGAATAATAAGTGAATATTCAGGAGGAAGTTGACGTGGAACTTTTACTTCAATATCTACATCTTTCAGCAATCTTGGCCACCGTCTTGAATCTAAAAAGGATTCGAAAGACGATGAGTCATCAGCAAGCACAAGAAGAGAATGCAGATGACCAAAACGTGCAGCTATTGTTAAATCGATACCGTGCTGATTTTTCCATTTTGAGATTAGATTATCTGTAATATCTTTAATCGAAGCTTGTTGGTCGCCTTTAAATTTAACAATAATCGGTGGAAATATTATTTTCAAGTTAGTTGTACGAAGAGTCATATATTGCAAAACAAAATCTGTTTTTCCATTTTTATCTGTTTGTTGTTGAAAAGATGGTGATCTATAACTTCTAGGACGTTTATTAGTGGTCCTGTCAACACTTTGATTCCGGTTTTGTATCGGTGTTTGTTGTTGATGTATAATCGGCTCCATCGGTGATTCATATCCCTCGGTATTACTCATAGCGAGAGATATAACGAAAGCGAAGGAAATAAGTTGCGACTATCTTGTAAGGTTGTAATAAGCGAATGAACATTTTAAGTTATACAATACCTTTTTCTTTACCAAAAATAGTTTCCCATCTCTTGAAAGTCATCTAGTATAGAACTCGTTCAGATATTATCGAGCATAATAAATATTAATCAAAATCGAAATTCTACAACTGAATAAAAAATGAGAATGTGGTTTTGAATCGAATAGCACAAATATTTCTTGAAAAACTCGAAATTTTTTTTTCATCCTTTCAAAATTCCAGAAAAAGGGTAAGATTACTTAAAAACAAATTTTCGACCATAAGGAAATACTACCTTTTTAAGCTACTTAATTTTAAAGAAAAAGTTAGTATAGGCTATGCCTTTACTGGAGTGATACATCAGTGAAATATTGGAACTACAAATGCAAATAGATGTATGTCTTTTACCAAAGAAAATATCATTGAAGGAAAAATGACTGGTTTATCTTTTATTAGGACATAAATGCATAGACCTTAAATCTTTTGCTTCTGTGTTTCAGATATAAAAAATTCGCTGCTCTTTGACTTTTGAACACTTTTCTGCATCTGTCTTCGATCGTGTGATCTGCCCACTGGTTTGCTCATCGTGTAAGTATTTGCGCTAGGATGATGCATATAATAAATATCACGTTAAAGCGATAACTTCGATTACGAAAATTTTTGTTTCGTAAACATTTTAGACAACGTAAAAAGAGAAACAATAATCACAAAAGTTATATTTTCCACATTCTTTGCTTTTCCCATTAGCTATTTCAGTCCAAAAAAGAGATTGATTTTCTTGTACTCAGCGTTTCAATTCCTGTGATAGAATTGTCAGATCATCAGTATTTGTTTTGTGCCACAAACATTGGCATTGAGTTGAATAATAATTTGAAATAGAGGGAGAATTTCTTATTAACAGTGATGTTGTCAAAAACCATCCGAGTTATAACTATCAATCGTGGTTTTAATCCCAACTACCATTGATGATGATATTATTAAGAACAGAACCAGACATGGGCAACTGCTAATGAGACGCTCTTCGAATCCCATACAATCTTAAAGGTGTGAGGAATCATTTTTAGGAGTTTATATGAAATCCTAATGAAACTTGAGAGGATACTGTTGAACCCCATGATAATTTATGAGTATTCAAGAAACTCGGACGCCTTAGATCTTCGTATGATTTTATGGAATGCAATTACTAATCAAGTTTGCTGTTTCCTGTTGTAGACATAACTTGTTCAATTTGAGGACTGAACATAATGTTTGCTGAAGTTAAATTGAAATGATATATTAACTTTTACATTTAGATAAAAGGAAAACAAAAACAAAAGCAGATCGATAAATAGACATCAAGTCTGACAACACAACCAATATTGTATTTCACATAG